CCTGTTTTTTACAAGACCTGGCGTTAGTAAAAGCTAAAAAAAATAGTTGAAGCAAAATCAGGTACATTGTAATATATGACGGAGCAAAATTATTAACAGCTACGATTGGCTACGAAATCAAATGTCGAACTTTTAAAAGTCGAAAGTTCAATGAATATTCTTCTCAAATAGCAATAAACTTAACTGGTCAGAGTCCTCCTATGGAGTTAAAGTTTATGATTCCAAAGCCACAAACGTCATTGTGTTTTTACCCCTACCCGCAAAAGAAAATTAAATGCAGATTTTGACTGAGTATCAAAAATATATCATTATATGGGTTCCTTGATGTCAGCAATATGTTTTTTAAGTCCTTTGTACTCTCAGTAAGCCCTAAATTAAAGATTTTAACCAGCGATTCCACGGTGCAGGGATTTTTCTTCGAAGTATTGTCAAGGTAAAAATTATTTGCATTTTTAAACGATAGATCCAAACTGGAAGTCAGTAATTACAATTCTATAGCACTGCTATTGATTATCAGCAAAGTCTTTCTACCCAGAAAATTTTAATATGATATACTCCGACCAAAGTGGTTAATGGTTTAAAGCAATTGATGCTATTGCGGAAGTTACTGAAAAGTACCCGAATCCGACAGAAACTTGACTCCGTCTATCTTCGTGGATCTCAAAAAATAATGTGACACCGGAGATAATAGTTTTTTGGAGAGTGAAGTTGTTCCAATTGGCGAGAATTTTTCGAGTTTTTACGCAAGCTTCAGCTTAGTGTATTATTAAGAATCGTCTTTTTTAACCTAAGTCGCAAATATTTGTGCCACTTTTGGTGCTCATTTACAGATTTTCGATAGAATGTGCTTTGACATTCGAATAGTTATAAATTTAAAAAGTTGATGCATTTTTAATTCATCGATTGAACCGAAAAAAGCTATTTGTTTCAAACTATAACAATCATAAGAACTCGATTTCAAAATTTTCTGACTCAATATAACTCGCAATTTTTTGAAATCAAGAATTTATACATAACGTGGCTTTGTTTTCCGATTTGTTACTTGAAAGTTAGAGTGGATGCCTTGAGTTTGTTATACTCGAAGTTTTCATTTGCAAACTTGTCTACTTGTATTTGGTGCGACTTCTGCTGAACCGTATTGGCAATTTATTAGCATATGTGGCTGCTTTATTCGTGACTACTGTTTGTCGGTGGTTAAGCGTGCGTGGCTGAGTGGGTAGTGCGTGAGACTCGAAATCTCTAGATTGCAGTAGGTCGCTGATCGAATCCTAGACCTAGCCGAATTTTCATTAAGTCTGGACTTATTTCTATTTTTTTTCTTATTTTACTTTATAGAGCTGCTTTTTGTTGTGTTCTCGCTAGTTTTTGCGAAGCGGAGCTTTTCCTCTGTGTAAACGTTTGTCGTGCGGTGTCACATAGGGCTCAATATTTTAAGGTTTTTTCTTTTAAGAGCGGTATGATTTGCCAGGCGTTCGTAAAAGCTCAGAGCTGTTTTTTGTTTGCGGACGTTTCAACAATCATAGGAATACGTAGAAATTATTGGAGCACATCTTTACATTTTAGGAAATGACAAACAGAGAAAATTGGGCAACCAGTTAAGAAATCATAGAACTTGGAGACCTACAGTTTTTTTAAATCCCATTCATTAAAACAAACCTACGCAATTGCAGGTTCAGCGGCCTCAAAAATGTTGGTTTTTGAGTGTGAAATACAGTTTAATCCACCTCTCCGTGTATTCCTTGTTACAACTGGTCTAAGGCTTGCCATTGTGTGTATTTATATAGTTGCTCCAATTTTTCATGGCAATACCTAAGTGATGTCGCTAACACATGTTATATATTGACTTTCGTCATTTATTTTCAATTAAATTTTTAGCAGCAATTAGTAGCAATTTTTTTTTTTCGAAAATGACTTTGGTTGCTAGTAAACATCCAGCGACAAGCAGGTTCATGCATTGATCTCCATGATGCAGTGATTCGGGGAGGGTTCTCATGCTTGAAGGACCGAATGCTTGAAAAATTTCAACCAATCAAAATCGCTAAGCGTTTCTATTGGCTAAATGCCTTTCTCACAAAATCGAATTCACTATTAACAGAAAATGTATTAAATCAGTCGAAAATAATCAAAAATATTACAAAATGCGGGTTACAACCGCAATACCATTCGGATAATCATCAAGATTAATGAGGTCAAAATCATAAGAATTTTTCGGTCTTGAAAACTCATCTGCTTATTATCTAATCGGTCAATATTAACTTTAATGGCTGGATTTATTTTCTTACTTTGAGATTTTTGCGATTTACTTTGAGATTTTGAATACTCAATTCTGATTGGCTGAAAGTAAGCTAAAATAAGTTTCAAGCATTCGGTCCCTCAAGCATGAGGGACGCCACCCAGTGATTCTCATGTGGCAGGTTGATTTGAATTGCTGCCAAAAATGGAGTGCAGCCAGTATTTAGACAGCCGCGTATTCATACTGGTCAGTATTTAGACAAATACTGTATGAACCAATCAGAATCGAGAAAAAAACATAAATAATCCAAAATAAATAATAATTATTTATTAATTTCTTCTTTGTCTCGATTCTGATTGGTTGAAACAGTATTTGTCTAAATACTGACCAGTATGAATACGCGGCTGTCTAAATACTGACATGTAACCTTGTAGCTGCCAGCTCCCTTTATCACAGCCTGAAAGATCTTGAGCAAGAGGCACGGAGAGGGACGCAGCAGACGGACTACGCAGTCCCCGGCCTGTCTTTGAACCCCAATACCTTGAACAGGGGGAAGGATTTGGGGTTGACAGGCTCAATTCTAGCAAATATACTCGGGCACAAACAACTTTTACAACAAGAAAATTGAAAACATGCTTGCCATCCCTTAGAACGGTCAAGGGAGATCCTGGGGTAGTTCTCGATGCTGCCTACAAGGTGTTGTAGCTTACATGACAACCTAAATAATACATTGGCAAAGTATTTTTGACAAAATTGAGGGGGCAACATAGAAACGAACACTCAAATGGCCAGGGAGATCTTGGAGAAAACTGAGTTGGGCTCCGACGAGAGTATAATCTCCCTTGATGTAAAGAGTTTGTACACTAATGTCCCGCTCAAGGAAGCGGTTGAAATAGCCCTGAGGAGATTATATGAGCAAGTCAACCCTCCGGAAAGATCTCGCAAGACTATGAAAAAACTACCGAATTTGGCAGTGAGTAAGGTACACTTTAAAAGCAATGGTTTATGGTATGTACAAAAAGACAGTTTAGCAATGGGCGCCTCCCTTGCAGTAATATTGGCGAATTTGTGGCTCAAAGAATACGAACTTGCATTAAAGAAAGAAGTGCCAAAATTGAATGTGCTAAGTGAGGGTAACAAGGAAGTGTGCCCTAGATGTCAGAAAAAGGTGACATATCGGACAAAAGGGGTAGAATGCGAAGTTTGTTTGAATTGGTACCACTTAGTGTGTTGTAACATATCGGAATCCGAATATTCTAAGATTTACTACGTTTTACCTGTCCCGATACAATTAACCGTGCGGGTGATAAAAATATCTAGTATTTCCATGCCCACTTTTTCTTTATTTTTTTCTGATAAACTAAATTCATTCATATTCAATTATCTGTGAGATGTGGTCTTATTTTATCCCAGTATAAGATAGTCAGTTCTCATTTCTAACTCAAACTATTTATCTAATTAAACTTTCTTTCGCTCTTTTCCTATTTTTTAAAGTTATTTGTGCGCCAAATGTTTCTAATTGACACTTATTTCTGTACCGGCTGTTTTGTTCAGTAATAACTTTAAAGATTTAATTTCTGTCGCTTTTTCCAATCCGTAAGTTACTTTATTATCTTAAATTTTTTGATAGTCGCAAGGGAAGTACAAAAAAGGAAGCGGTACGTCATATTTTGTATTGCAATTTGCGGCTCTCCTCCTTAATTCACGATTCAAGGCATCATTTTCATCTTTTTCTTTATTTCTGCGGCGCTACTGATTGTTATGATAGTTTTGAGCTTTATTTAAGCTCAAGGTTTTATATTTACGACAACATCTGTTGTCGAGAATCAAAATTTTTAACTGCAAGTTGGAAAGTCAAGTAGTTGTGACATTTAAAGTAAATTTTATCGGGACAAAAATGATTTCCGTTGTTACGTTGAATTCCAAAATGGTACAAATAATTACATGTAATTTACTTGAACTGATTTATCGACTGTGATTTAACGGTAATTTTTTTAAAAAAAGGATGCTTTTATACGAATTAAAGGCAGTGGTTTGATGTGAACTCAGTTTACCTTATCGATTATTTCCGCTCAGTTCAGATGTTTTTTGTATTCCTAGTGTATCGTGGTACTAAATTGTTCAATTACTAGGCGTTCAGTTTTCTTATGCCAATAAAGACCATTGCTGTATTTTCTCAATTGCGCAATAGCAAACCGGCAATTAAGGAACTTCAACCATGCACGGAAATGGGTTTTTATTTGCCCAATTGTGCTTCAACAACACCAACTTTGATGCTATGTAAAGTTAACATATTTCGATCAGCTCTTAGTTTTATAGCTAAATGTTTATATTAATAGCATTTGCTTTTTCTTTGGAGACAAATTCAACAGCAATTCCGAAATAATTGATGACTTCATTTTTCTCTTGCAACTTCGATCATTTTTCAGTTTTATTTCGTCTGTAAAGTGTATTTTGAAACAATTGAGTTATTGTAATCTAATGAGTTATTTCGCCTTAAATGGACCGTGAAACGAGCTCAAATATTTGTCATTCTATGGTTACATCCATTACTGACTACATTATACTTGAAGAGAGAAAACATAGTGAAACATGAACTTGTTGAAACATAAATTTGTGCGTCACCACCATTTGACTTATCCAACTTACTTTGAAATCTAACATTTTAAGGAGCTTAACTGGCTGATTGCTCAAATTGAATTGAGTTATACTTTGTTTCACGTCTTCGATTGTTTTTGATAATTGATTGTTTTTTTTTTCGTTTCAGGTACTGACTTGTATATATAAACAACTACAACTTATACAGGGACACTTAACTTTGTAAAAATGGCACGAAGATGTGCGGAAAAATGTGGATTGGCTTGGCTGCCTCTGTTAGCCTTTTGTCTAGTTGCAACTACGTTTATCATTTCTTACACCATCTCACAGGTCAAAGACATCGTTGTAACAGCGCTCCCCTTTATTAGCGATACAGGAACTATTTCTCCGGCGAGTTGCTGGTTCGGATTGTTTCTAAATGCAACCGCTTATATGTTTTTGATGGTGATGGTTGTGAGGTATTTGCAAATCCGAGAGCACCTCACACATGAGCAGAAAAAAGTGAAAGTCATCAATATCATATCACTGGTCATCGGAATTCTCGCAGCTCTAGGAGTCAGCATGGTGGCATGTTTCCAAGAAACCAACGTCAAGTCTATGCATTTGATCGGCGCGTTCATGGCATTTATAGGAGGAATTATATATGGATACATGCACGCATACCTAACTCACAAGCTAATCAAGGAATCGTTCTTCAACCATAAATGGCTCATGGTCATCCGAATCATTCTGGCCACTATCATGCTTGGCGTCATGGTCATGATGATAATTGCAATGCGACACTCAGGGTACAAGCTACCACCTTATACTCCCACTAATAGGCCATACGAACATAAAGGGTGGTACTTTACAGCGACATCTTGTGAATGGACTCTAGGCATATCATTCTTTTTCTATGTCCTCTCGCTTAGCTATGAGTTCGCGACTATCAAGGTGTTGATCGTGGTAAAGAATGTTCCCAACAGTTACTTTGTCGCGAATCCGGAAGCGGGGGTTAAAAATTCGCTGGTAGATGAAAGAAGACACTAAACTGGAACAAGAAGCGTATGGTTGAAACAGATAGAAGTAAAATGACAATTTAAAAAAAAACTGCAAGTATTTTTGATGAGTTCTCTTCAAGGTTGCAGTCATAAATATCTACTAAATTAATTTTCAAACGATCTACTAAAGTAATTCGTTTGAATCTGTTAAAATTTTAAACTTTATTTCATTTTAATTTATGGCTGCAAGCTCTAGCTCTAGCTTACAAATCAATAATAAGTTCGGACTAGAAAAAAAAAATATTTTCTTTTTGAACTATTCTCTTGAAAATTGATAAGATTAATTACATTGCAATAATAATTGTGTCCCGTGTCGGATAACCACTTTACTTGTCTGTCCGAACTTTGAAGCTTACTTTTTTATGATGAAAGTCGCTGCAAATTATATTTGATTGTTTTTCCCAACTAATTTGAGGCTAATAAGGCTCAAACTAGTCGCTTTTTTAATATTTCCTATGCTCGGTTTTCTATCCACCTATTTTCGTGCTATCATTTTCGCGTATTATTTATTCTGATGCGTATTAATTCGGTCTGAAAAACTTTCATGTTTTTAAAGCGTAAACATTAAGAAGTCAAACTCTGGTACTTTAGAATTTGTTTGGATTCCGTGTATATTGTCTCTGAAATTCGCATCATTTGCGTTGAATTCCGCAAAGTTTCGAAAAAAATTTGAAATCGGAAATCTGATAGAAGCAAAAGACAGATATTAAAACTAAAATTTAGCTAATGAGTAAATTTTTGGAATTCAGCGAAAATGTGGCTTTTTGAGACAAATGCTAAGTCATGCTTGTTTTAGATTCGGCAGAAAAATGCGTTTTTGCAGTTGGAGAAACTCAAAGCGATTTTTCAGTGGATTCTGCAATCGATTTGTTCTTTTTGTCGCTGGATTCTACAATTTGTTAGTGGATTTCGCAGTCAATTTGTTATTTTTGACGCTGAATTCCATAAGCACATTTTCAGCTGTTTAATTGTGTATCGGACCCATTTTCTCATCTTTTCGTTTTTGTAGAATATGTTATGAACGTATGTATATCATCTATTTTCAAATGCAGTTCCCTGATTTCATTTTTATATGACACATGAGACAATTTACCTCCCAATTTACAAATGATGAGTCAATTTTTCCGCAAATGATGCAAGTCCCTCCATTTTTAAGCACCCCCATAACTCTCTCACCCATATTTTTTAACCAGTTTTTGCGGTCTTTGAGTTTCAATATAATCGAGCTGCAAAATTTTGTCCCGCCAAAAAGTTAATTGAATGAAATCCAATTACGATTTTTATAATATTCCGGTTATCCAAGACAAATGTTTTTAATACTTAAGAATTCAAAGCTGAATGTAACAAAATTTGGTCAGCCAATTTTGACTTGCGGTAGCGGCCAATATAAATTTTAAAAAATGAGTCCAAATTTTGAAAATGCAATTGAGATATGGAAGAGGTTGAAACAGACCATTATTGAAGTTAAACTTCAACAATATAAATTTAAATACTTAAAACTTACGATTCAAAATATTAGCAAGCGTTATCAAACCGGAATGTAGGCTTTTAGGGTTGACAACTTTTTAAACAAAGTCACTTGTATCTTGGTTCATAATGAATTCAAACTTTTATGCGTATCTTAGCCTCGAGATGAAGAATACGCTTAGGACGGCAAAGGTGGTGGTTTCAGATCTGACCAGGAACTGTTTTTTTTTCAAACTGGAAGTATTCCTTTCCAATAAAAATGCCGCCCTATAGTTAGTCTGCTTATGTTTTATCGGGTAAGTTTCCACATAGAGTTGATGCATTGTACGTATTTTCTATGCAGTTGCTTTCAGTGTTTTGAATTACTCCTGAGTGTTTTGAATTTACTATCCTTGACTTCGTATTTTTGTTGTTTTTTATCGCATAAAAAATTTATTCGGCTCAATTGGTTTCGGCTATATTTTGTCGGTTTATTAACCTAACTGGGAATCATTTTAAAGAAAAAGCTTCATTCGGGATCGCACAAAATATTAAAATTAGAATAGAGTATAAATTTCAAAATTTTGTCGTCACAACAAGTATATTTTCGGTTCTAAGGGAAATCTTTCAAGTTTTGTCGGCTCAGTTGCCGCTTGTTAATTTTTTTTTGAATTTGCATTGCCGTCAATGGTTCTGGATTTTTTTTTCGCAAATAAAACATGGTTCCAGATATATTTTTTTGTTTTTTTGTGGTTTTTTGCAGTGTTTTCTATTTTTGTACTCAGTGGCTTTCTCCTCCTGTCTGCTAGCTTGCACTGCTATTTTTATGTTGTATCGCAAGTAGTGTAGATCTCCGTCTCGCCTCTCGTGTAGAAAATTTAACTTTACAAGGGTCTATTTTTTACAGCAAAACAGAAATTTTTTGAATAAATCAGATTTCGAACCAGCTTGCTTCGTTCTCTTAGGCGCACCGTCTAACAATTTGGCCTTAACATGAAAAGAGTTAATCACGCCAAAAAATTTCAGCCTAATTAGCTGAATATGTAAAGCAGCAGACAACCTGCTGCAGTAGTTGGATAAAAACAGCGGAAGTGCGTTTGAATAATAAACTTTAAATTTTTTTAAACTAAAAGTAGTAACATGTACTCAGTGGATTAGCAGAGTTGTTTAGGCAATTGACCGAATAATCAAGGGCAGGTCTGACTCAAATTCACCACCTCCTTATCTGCATTCAAAGCCATAGCCTAGTCTCCTCCACCCAAGGATTTGGATGCCCCCTCAACTGAGGTCCATCCTTAAAACTTTGGCGGCGCACGAAAGACCCATTCATCATTCACCAAAGGGTGAAATTTTAACAGCTAGGTTTATCCGCTTTGTTTTTTTTACTTTTCAACCAACCGAATTGTTTTTTCATCAAGCGAAGACATTTTCTGAGCTAGGTAAAAATAAAATTATAAATACTCAATTTAATGTGAGTTTAGGTAAAGTTTTCTGATATACGGACATCGCAAATATTCAAAAAAGACACGGATTTCTAATTCGGAATTTATATTACAAATAGAAGTTTTATTAATTATTTGATAGTTTTTGGTCGTATAACAGGAAAGACCCACTAGTAATTTTTAACCAAAGCCACCAGAAGCTGGAAAAAACGAAAAAAAAGTTGATGGCAAATTTTTGGAGGTCTTTATCTTTCCGAAGCAAAACATATAAAATTTCAAATGCTGCTTTAATAGTCTTTAATTCTCTTAACATCTTTACAGGATTTTTGCTAAAGTGAAAGAAATGGTTATGATCAATTAGTTTATTTTTTGCAACTAAAAAATGAACCTAAAAAACCAAAAAAAAATGCGTAATTGAAATTGAAGAAGGTTGTTCCTTTTGAACTGTTTAAAAATGTAGTTTTATTTTAACCAGCCAGCCTACAAGACGTTTTTTGCTCTTTTTGAGTTTCTTGGTTGTCACGTCCCAAAATGTGCTCCGGGCTGTCGTAGGGCTGGGCTGGGATGTCGGCTCAAAAGGTAAAGAAGGGGCCGCAATGATGCTCCGAGTCGTTGGGCGGAAATTCTACGTTCTTCTTCGAGCGATGGTTGCCTCGCTGGCTGGCGTGGTAGACACGCTGCTGTTTTGGTTGTAATTTTTTGAGGGCTAATCCGAGATTTGCCCAAATAGGTCCTTCAGAGCCTGTCG